ACAGCGGGTTCCGGAACTCGTCAGGCCGGTCGTTAATGTACGACCAGAGCGACACCGTGTTCCCCCGCACACCCTGGGTATCGGGTTACAGAAAGGTGGTCATTAACACCATGTTCCCCGCACACCCTTGGTATCGGGTTACAGAAAGGTGGTCGTTATTGTGTGATCAGAACGACACTGTGTTCCCCCGCACACCCTGGGTATCGGGTTACAGAAAGGTGGTCGTTAATGTACGACAAGAGCGACACCGTGTTCCCCCACACACCCTGGGTATCGGGTTACAGAACAAACATTTAGCCATCGTGCAATTTGCTGGTTCTTGGATTAACATTGATCAGTTTGCTGCTAAATCTTGTGAAAGTCGCTTACATTGAGTAGAATGCGCTATATTCAATAAGCAAGTTTGCTTAAATATTAAATACTACTTGAATGTTTAAGGATAATTTGATCTGTAAAATCTCACCTCCTTGTCCTGTATCTGTTCAGCGTTGCAGAGGAACGTCCCGAACAGGCAGCTGTAGGCGTGGTCCAGAACCGTGATCAGGAAATGTTCGTTAAACTCCAGCGCTACTGGGAACTGGTAAACAAACAAACTGGTAAATAAACAAACTGTGGAGGGAGGAAACATGTCATTATACATGTCCACACCACAACTACGTACCTACATGTACCTACACATCACACCACACCATACACATGTCAGGAAATGTTTGTTAAACTCCAGCGCTACTGGGAACTGGTAAACAACAAACTGGTAATAACAACTGTGGAGGAGGAAACATGTCATTACTACAACCTTCACACCATATACATGTACATGTAACATCATGGACATTATTATATATAATTATAGGTCCAGGACGGTGATTAGGAAATGTTCGTTAAACTCCAGCGCGACTGGGAACTGGGGACAGAGGGGACAAATGTGTCATTGTCAAACACATGTACAACTACTTACACCACTGTGTCATCACAGTCAAGTACATGTATATGCCTGTTGGCACAGGACGACATACGGTAAGGTTATACTCCAGCGCAACTGGGAACTGGGGAGGGACGAATTCATCATTCACATGTACACCTACCTACAGCACCACACCATGCCAGGTAGCGTTCTGTACAATTACTATACTTTTATTAATAGGACATTTATGAGAAAAAAGTTAACAATGCAAGTTCCATAGCTCAGCAGGTGAGAAGTTGGGCGGGTGAGAAGTAAAGCAGGTGAGAAGATAGTCTGACCTGTCTGGAGATCTGCCACACACAGTCGATGAACTGCAGGAAGACGGGCGACCGGTCGGCGTCGGCATGGTTCTTATCCCCGTGGCCCAGCCTCTGTAAAGGAGCAAACAAACGGTCAAGATAACATTCAGGTACTGGAAGTAAGGCCTCACTACACACACATGCGCGCACACATACACACACACACATGCAGACACACACACACAGACATGCACACGCACACACACACAGACAGACACACACATGCAGACACACACACACACACAGACATGCACCATGCACACACACACAGACACACACATACAGACACACACAGACATGCACCATGCACACACAGACACACACATGCAGACATGCACCATGCACACACAGACACACACATACAGACATGCACCATGCACACACACACATACACACACATACACACACACACACACACACACACACACACACACACACACATACACACACACACATGCAGACACACACACACACAGACATGCACCATGCACACACACGTTTCTTATCCCCTTGCAGCCTCTAGGCAAGATAACAGATACTGGAACTATGGCCACACAAACACACACACTAACCTCCATCAACGTAAGGCTGCACTACACACACACACACAAACATGCACTCACAAGCATACACTCACACACACACACTCACATGCGCACGCACACACACACACACACACACAAACATGCACACGCACATGCACACACACACTCACATGCGCGCACACACTCAAATAATAATTGCTTCAAATTCAAACGTTTTCACAAGAAGTTCTCTACACATTCAAGCTTATCAAATGTAGCAGAAATGAAAATATGTATCCAATCTCAGCTCACTGTAGCAAACTTGTGGCCAAACGAGATCCACTCCTTCTCAATCAGCAGCTCGAATCCACGGATGGTTCGGTAGAACGGATCCAACATCAGCATGGCCAGTGCCGTCAACTGTAAACAACAATTATGTAATCATTACATAAAAATACACATTCAAACACAATTATTTATATTAAGAACCAACTATGACATCCTCAGGTCTTCAGTCTGAGTTACCCTGCTGTATCTATCAGCTGCAAACAAATTTTCCTGACAATGGTAACAGCCATGTCCTGTCCCACCCATCACTACAGTGCACCACCTACTATATTTAAGCTGTACCTGAGCTGTCCCTGTGCTGTACCTGTTGTACATTTTGTACACCTGTGCTGTAGTTATACTGTGCATTACTTGAGCTGTCCTGTCCCACCCATCGCTGCAGTGCACCACATGTTCTGTACCTGTGCTGTGCCTGTGCTGTGCCTGTGCTGTGCCTGTGCTGTAACTGTGATGTACCTGTGCTGTACCCGTGCTGTACCTGTTCTGTACCTGTGCTTTGCCTGTGCTGTGCCTGTGCTGTGCCTGTGCTGTACCTGTGCTGTGCCTGTGCTGTACCTGTGCTGTGCCTGTGCTGTACCTGTGCTATACATGTACCTGTGCTGCACCTGTGCTGTAACTGTACTTAACCCTTACCTGAGCTGTCCTGTCCCACCCATCGCTGCAGTGCACCACCACCGAGGTTTTGTGGCTCTCCACTTTGTCTGTGCTGTGCCCGTGCTGTATATGTACTATACCTGTACTGTACATGTGCTATGTCTATGCCTTACCTGAGCTGTCCTGTCCCACCCATCACTACAGTGCACCACCACCGAGGTTTTGTGGCTCTCCACTTTATCTGCTACCCTCACTGCTCCTGCAAGGATCAGCTGCAGAGGAACAATGAAGATTTATGACTATTAGACATTGTATAATTTAGCTGAAACAGCTACAAATGCATGGGACTATACAGCTAGAGGCACTGTGCATCAGGACATGACAATATTGAGAAGGAGAAAACTGAAGGTTGTTCCCACCTTGATGTGTTCCAGCCAGTGGGTCGCCTCCAGGTTGGACAGCCAGTGGTGGTCATCGATACTCGGGTATAGCATGTCTCGCAGCTTCCGCAGGCTGTAAACATAAACACAAACATAAACACAAACATAAACAAACATCAAAGCTTCCGCAAATTGTAAACATGAACATAAATAACCACGCTGGGGTACAGCTTGCAGACCCTCACAACCTCACCTTTAGCACACTTTATCCTCTATGACCTTTGAGCTTCCCCATGACACCTATGACCTTTCACCTTTGCAACATCACATGACCTCTCACCTTTCCGACATGATATGTACACATGTGACCTCTCACCTTTCCCAATGACACCTATGACCTCTCACCATTCTCCTTGACACATATGACCTTTTGCCATTCCCCATGACACCTATGACCTCTCACCTTTCCCTCATGACATGGATGTTATGGATATCCAGGAAGACGAGCTCCACGTTCTGATAAGCATCTTCGCTCTCGTAGCCGCCTCCTTTGCCTGTACAGCAACACAAAAACATCATTAACATCAAACATATTCATAAAAATATCTGTAACCTGGTACAGGGACCAAAGAAGTCACATTCAGGTGTTCCTCCCAGCCTTATGCTTGCACAGTGACCAGGACACTTTGTGAGACTGATGTAATGTTTATAATGAACCTTGTTTGCCACCGCGTTGACGTTAGGCCTGGCGTCCATGATGTACAGTTTGTGGGACTGGGCTACAGTTCAGATGTACAGTTGCTACAGTGTTACTGATGTACAGTTTGTGGGGCTACAGTGTTACTGATGTTACTGATGTACAGTTTGTGGGGCTACAGTGTTACTGATGTACAGTTTGTGGGGCTACAGTGTTACTGATGTACAGTTTGTGGGGCTACAGTGTTACTGATGTACAGTTTGTGGGGCTACAGTGTTACTGATGTACAGTTTGTGGGGCTACAGTGTTACTGATGTACAGTTTGTGGGGCTACAGTGTTACTGATGTACAGTTTGTGGGGCTACAGTGTTACTGATGTACAGTTTGTGGGGCTACAGTGTTACTGATGTTACTGATGTACAGTTTGTGGGGCTACAGTGTTACTGATGTTACTGATGTACAGTTTGTGGGGCTACAGTGTTACTGATGTACAGTTTGTGGGGCTACAGTGTTACTGATGTACAGTTTGTGGGGCTACAGTGTTACTGATGTTACTGATGTACAGTTTGTGGGGCTACAGTGTTACTGATGTACTGTTTGTACAGTTNTGGGGCTACAGTGTTACTGATGTACAGTTGTGGGGCTACAGTGTTACTGATGTACAGTTTGTGGGGCTACAGTGTTACTGATGTTACTGATGTACTAACCTTGTTTGCTACGGCGTTGACATTAGGTCTAGCGTCCATGATGTACAGTTTGTGGGACTGGGCGTTGGCGTCCATGATCAGCTGGAGATACTTCTCATCGTCACGGCAACGCTTCCCGCCGACGCCCACTAACGGCTGGCTGCAGCGCGAGATTGTGGCCTGGCTCTCCGGGTGTATCCATGACAACGCCTAAACAAACAAACAAACAAACATCAGAAACAGGGTTATTTTGTGGCCTGGCTCTCCGGGTGTATCCATGACAACGCCTAAACAAACAAACATCAGAAACAGTGTTATTTTGTGGCCTGGCTCTCCGGGTGTATCCATGACAACGCCTAAACAAACAAACAAACATCAGAAACAGGGTTATTTTGTGGCCTGGCTCTCCGGGTGTATCCATGACAATGCCTAAACAAACAAACACCTGAAAAATTTTTTGGCCTAAGATATGGTTGTGTCTTTCCTACATCTAAGACATGGCTAACCCTAAGACATGACTACATCTAAGATAAGACGTGTTCCTTACCGGGATGCGGCACCGACTGCGGAAGACTCCCACTCGCTTTAAGTCATCGTCACTCGCAGCTTTCGGCACAGACAACTGCAGAGGGGGGGGGATGTGGGTCCAGTTTTACATCGTATCATAGCATAACCAACAAGAGTTAGCGGCAAATACATGTACCAGACTCAGATAATCAGAATGATGTTGATGAAACTACTGTAAGAATCGTGGCACTTTTGACCAAATGCAGCAGTAGCCAAAGTTTTGATATCCATGTATGTTGTGTGTTGGAACAACAGTTACTGTCAGCTATTCAAGGCTAAGTATTTTAAGCAAGTAAGCAATAAGAATAGCATGATGCACCGGTGAAAAAGAAAGAAATTTACTAAAATGAGAAATCTATCCCTACATCCAAGTCACAGCTACACTAAATTTTGTACTCACCACAGCAGGGTATTACTAGTACTCACCACAGCAGGGTATTACTGGTACTCACCACAGCAGGGTACTACTAGTACTCACCACAGCAGGGTATTACTAGTACTCACCACAGCAGGGTATTACTAGTACTCACCACAGCAGGGTATTACTAGTACTCACCACAGCAGGGTAGGTGTCACAAAACTCGTAGTTCTCGTTAATTTTTGTGATCCTCCAGGCATCGTTGGGCAGGCCCTGCACAAAATTGTTGGGATGAAAAATCTTTAATTTTATAGCAAGTAATTGAGCACAGCATGGTGAAAAAGAAAGAAATTACTGAAAATGACAAATGTATTTCTCAGTAGGTCCACGAGAATAAACCCTGCCTCAAAGGGAACCAGGAAAATGCTTTGATGTTGTACATGTATGATGTATCCAGAACTAGAGTTCGTGAAACACATGCCTTCATCACATGTCTTAGATACATAGAGACTATCCAGAACTGTGCCTGATACTAACCTTAACCTACTCAGGCATAGAACTAGACTGGCACAGTTCTGGGTACAATAGAGACTATCCAGAACTGTGCCTGATACTAACCTTAACCTACTCAGGCATAGAACTAGATAGACACGGTTCTGGGTACAATAGAGACTATCCAGAACCGTGCCTGATCCTAACCCTAACCCATTCAGGCATAGAACTAGACAGGCACGGTTCTGGATACAATACAAACTATCCAGAACCGTGCCTAATCCTAACCCATTCAGGCACAGAACAAAAGACAGTGGAAAAAAGAGAACACCCCTCACCAGACGTTTGAACTCTTCCACAGGACTGTAAACCTTCCAGCCGTTGGTTGAGAATTTCTCCTTGTACTCAAAAGCAAAGAACGGCTGAAAAACAACAGGAAAGGCAGTGAAGGGCCAGACTGTTCTTACTATAATCTACACATACATAAAACTTTGTCTGAACAGTGAATGCGAAAGGGTATTTACCAGTTTGTTTGTTATTACCAGTTTGTTGTTATTACCAGTTTGTTGTTATTTACCAGTTTGTTGTTATTTACCAGTTTGTTGTTGACAGGAAAGGCGTACTGCTGCAGCTTTTCGAACACCAGTCTGCGCGAGTGGTTCTCCTGCTTGTGAGCAAAGCGCAGGTTCCGCATGTCCTGAACAGGGAACAAAAATTATTCTTGTTACAAGTCGACATCATCACAAGCGGGCAGCAGTTATTCCCATCAACACAAGTAACTTCCTCTCACAACCTTCAGCATGTTTACGACATAATTATTGAGTACTATTTGTGTACTGTATAATGTTAAATTTTTTATTACAGTTACCTTACAGAACACGTCCAGTCCGTAGGAATTCTCCCCGCGGCTGGACTGACCTCCGACCTTCTCCACACGTGACACAACCCCCAACGGAACATCCACGATGAACGGCGGGTCCTAAACAAGAACAGGAAATGTCACGACCTTCACATAACCTTGACCTGAATCATACATTGTACACCTACTTTGTTCTTGCAAATGACATGACCTTCAGGAAAACTCCTCGTTTCACTTGATACGACCTTGAGTAACATCTAGCTTGACCTACTGTTGTTGCTGTTGATGCCACCCTGTGTTTGCCCCTTGATCTGACCTTGACCTACCCTGTTGGTGCCCTTGATATGACCTTGACCTACCATGTGTTTGCCCTTGACCTGACCTTGACCTACCCCGTTGTTGCCCCTTGACCTGACCTTGACCTACCCTGTTGTTGCCCTTGAAGTACAGCTTGTAGTTGGTGACGGACAGCACGCCTCGGACGGGGCCCATGAAGGGGCACAGGTAGGTCACGTCCTTGGCTGGAGGTCAAAGGTGAAACAGAGAGACTCAGTGTAAAATTAACCAGGAAGTTTGAGGACTCCTGAACAAATTAACATTAACTACATCTTCAAATGTTCACGGTGGTTTGACTTTTGCTGTTTTCTCAGTGATTGTTTATCTATATCTTAAATCATGACACTCTGCAAATACGCGTTTTGTATTCATCTTGATACTTCTACTGTACTACAGAATTGTTTTAACGCCATGTTAGCAGTTATGAGCTCACCGATGGCCTGCAGTTTCTCCCCGGGCATGAGTGGCGGGTCGTCCGGCTGGGCCAGTTTGGAGTTCGCATCTCGTAGCACCTGTTGGTAAATGTTGGTAAAAACAAGCATGTTGAAAGATGCATCATTGAGAGATCTTGGAGACAACTGATAGATCATACTCATAGGAAGAACTTGAAGTTGAAAATCACTGAACAGCTCACAGGACCATTGAGAGACCTGTCATGTTTTGTATAACTCCAAACAGTCTTCGCTGTGTAGAATCTACAGACTGAAACAAACCTTACCTTGATCTGTATAATCCCCATCTTCGCACTACTGTACCGCTTACACCATTAATTTTACTCTGCTTGACTTGGGACTGAATCTACGGTCAGAAGTGAAATCTAAATTTGAAGTTACAAAGGGTCAAAAACCAGCAGCCGGGAAGTCACAGCCGTTCAGTAAATGTTTGGGGTGGAGGGCATAGTGTTGATGGTTTGTTGCCTGTAATCCTCTGTACTGTATAGTTACTGGTTGGTCCCTAACAGGAAGAGAGCTAGAGAGCAGGAAGTGTGCAGCCATCTGATTTTATACCATCTGGGGGGGATTCAGTACTGCCTCAGGGGGAGGAAGTGTGCAGCCATCTGATTCTGTACCATCTGGGGGGGATTCAGTACTGCCTCAGGGGGAGGAAGTGTGCAGCCATCTGATTCTGTACCATCTGGGGGGGATTCAGTACTGCCTCAGGGGGAGGAAGTGTGCAGCCATCTGGGAGGGGGGGAGGTGGAGGGCAGCCTCAGGCCAAATGGTGCTCACTCTGGCCCAAACCAATACCGTTTGTTGGTTCTCATCAGTCAAGGCATTCAGCCTCAGGCCAAAACTGTTCAATATGGGCACAAAAATCCCATCTTTCGGTTCTCATCAATCAAGTCCTTCAGTAAAGACAGCCTCAGGCCAAAATAGTGTTCTCCATGGGCCAAACTAATCCCATCTTTTGGTTCTCATAGAGGATCTTCATTAGGAGAACCTATGTAACCTGGTTACCAGACTAACTAGTACACTTGTATGTTAGCTCCTTTATCTCCCTGCCAATAAGAAAAAGACTCGGGAGGTAAAATAGGTAACGAGGCTGGAAAAATAGTGTTTACTGCGGGCATGAACAATCCAATCTGTTGGTTCTCATCATTCAAGGCAAGGCACATTATTAATTTACAGATATCATTCACTAAGGGGGAGGGTGGAGTCTGCACGGGAGGGGGCACGGTGTTTAGTCAGTCACCTTTGAGACTGAGACAGACAGAAGATCCTCACCTTTAGCATTACAGTTCCTTTAAGATCCTTACCTTGAGCCCCTTTGCCTCTGTGTGTAAGTGTGTGTGGTGTGTCGAGTGGTGGGGGTGGGGGTGGGGAGGGGTAGGGAGGGAGTGAGGGGTAGGTGGGCCATTACCTTGAGCCCCTGATGAGCCTTGGGGGGGTGTGGGTGGGTGTGAGTGTAAGAAGGTTCCTCACCTTTAGTTCTTGTGCCTGTAAGTTTTTCTGTGAGTCAGAAACAGAGCTAGAAGCCGAGGCAGAGGGAGATCCTGGTTTGGGATCCTGACTGGAGGTACGGGACCGGCCGGAGCTGTGAGTGTGTGTGGAGGGGGAGGGGGGCTGTGTGTGTGTGTGGAGGGGCGTGTGTGTCTGTCTGTGTGTGTGAGTATGAGAAGGTTCCTCACCTTTAGTTCCTGAGCCTGTAAGTTCTCCTGTGAATCAGAAACAGAGCTAGAAGCCGAGGCTGAGGGGGATCCAGGTTTGGGGTCCTGACTGGAGGTACGGGACCGGCCGGAGCTGTGTGTGTGTCTGTGGAGGGGTGAGTATGTGTAGTGTTTGTGTGTGTGAGTGTGGGGTGAGTGGGGTGTTACCTTTAGTTCCTGTGCCTGCAGGTTCTCCTGTGAGTCAGAGACAGAGCTAGAAGCGGAGGCTGAGGGGGATCCAGGTTTGGGGTCCTGGCTAGAGGTACGGGACCGGCCCGAGCTGGACCGGGTACTGCCGGGCGTGCTCCCCGGCGTGGTGGCCGCCGCCCCGGCCCGGCCTCGCCCGCCGCCCGGTCCTTCCGTCCGAGCTCGCGCTCAGGGACCCCGCGCTGCCCGTCTGCCGCGCTTCTCGGCCCTCCGTCTTCTCCATGTCGCGATAACGTCGGGAAAAGGACGTGCTACACTCGTATGTGTAGACAGCCTTCCGGAAATATAGACTCAAAACGGAAGTAATCAAGTCAACCGGAAGTACTTCTCGGCCTCTCGTACACAGGGCACTTTATGCACAAGACTCGTATCCAGAGTACTCTGAGGCAATAGAGAGTTGGTTATCCTCTGGTTATCCTGCGGACGATGTGATGTGAAATTTGACGATAGTTAAAACCAAAACAGAGCTCTGGAGGAAAATCTACATCGGACATTTTATTCATTCGCTAAAACCATGGGGGTATTTTACCTATAGTAATGTTACATGTGCTGAGGTGCACTACTGAATGCTTAAAATTTAAGTTAAAGCTTTTGCATGTAGTTGGAAAACGGGTGTGATTTTCCAATAGCTCTACAGTAAAATATGCACTTATGAAAAAGCATCACCTGTTGTTTTTGTACGGTACTGCAGTGTGATTTGTATGTACATGTGTACAGCATAACTGGAGAAGCTGTGGATCAATGTTAATGATACTTGGTAGGTGAGTATTATGGCTGTGAAAGCGAAGGTTAAGAACGAAAATGGTTCACCTGGAATTTTCCTGTGACACTTCAGCGGGCTTTTTATGTGGGATGTATGTGTTTTTGTATTATGAATAAAAGTAACAGTTATAGTAACAGTTACTAACTGTTAATTCTACGTGACTGATGAACCTCTTCAATGAATAAAAGTAAGAATTCATTTATTCAATTTGTTTTCTTGCCCATTTCTAAACGTGAGCTGACCAAAGTACTTTGAGAATTTTTCTTTAATATTGCAGAAACATTATGTATTATCAGCACATAACACAAGAAAGCCTTTGGACTCCATTCTGATAGTTTCTCAGAACAAAACATGAAACTTTTAAGTTTCATGTGCTGAACTGAACATGAAACTTTTAAGTTTCATGTTTTGTTTAAAAACATTGAGAAACTACAATGTATTTGTAGCGTTACATGTATGATGTAGTCTCTGTCATATTAAACAACTATAGAATATAATTATATAAACAAACTGTTACGGCCTAATGTTGCAACATCTCTGCTTCTGACACACCATAATCACACAACTCATACTGATATATGTACACACCATAATCACACAACTCATACTGATATATGTACACACCATAATCACACAACTCATACTGATTTCAGGTCAGACCAATTTACATGTGTTCCCTTGCTTCTTAGACATTGCTGGCAAGTAAACTTAAGTATGATTTTTTTTACTAAATCTACTTCGAAATTATAATATTATGTACATTCTAAGGTACAGACTTCCCTCTCAGACTTGGTTTATTATAGACTGTTTTCACGATGATTTTCAGTTCAGCATATTTTTTTTAAACTCTGAGAACCATCAAAGTGGGGTGGCCTCAGAGATACTTGGTGTATTATTTATTGTTATTATAAAACTTCTCAACAAGACAGTTGGAATGCAGCATCTCAGATTTGCACACAAAAAACCCTCAAGTGTACATTAATATGTCTCACAAGCTTTTAATTGAACCGACTTCAGTCATCTGCACTGAAATGGGTTAATTAGCAGGTTACACATTCATGACAGCCAGATACATTCAGAAGACAGAGAGTGCGAACGGACTCTGTACACCCAATATAACAAGGATACGTACATGTATGTACAGTACACTATATGGCTAAGCCTGGTCATTCTGCATACATTTGTCCTGTGTACAATAAGGTCACCTTATAGCATTGCACCAACTCACCCTTCTATACGATAAATAGAGATACAGATACAAAACATATATATACAAGTCCTCAGATTGCAGTATATGAAAGACACATCTAGTGTTATAATAGTTGTTGCACCTTCATAATTCAGGTCTAAAGTAAAGAAATATAGTAATGTGCATCTTCACACTTTACATAATATGGTGTAAAACGCCTTTAAACGGTGCATTTTCACCCTTGCATTTTGTCATGTTGCTTGTTAACTTATACACTGTCTAATGTCACATGTGAAAGGTATAGAATATACTGTAGATGCATCAAAAAGTAATGAAAAAAGTTACACCTGCCGAATTTTCCATGCTACAGAAGCAATTCTAACAGTAAGCGGCTCTATCAATGTTCTGGTCTCACTTGGAAATGATTGTTGCCCTTAACAGTTTCTGTGGGCAGGAAAAACTCAACAATGCACCACTTTTATTTTTACGTTCGGAAGTGATTGGTCATTAATTATCCTGATGAAGGCGACAGTGGTCGTTGATCTCTGTGTAACTTTGTGCTGGAATAAAGTTCAACATTTTCTATGATTGCTACCAACAAAGATGAACGTTCGTGATAATGCACCACTTTGATCACGTTGACTTTGATAAAACCAGTTCAGCAATAAGAAAGCAGAATCAGGGCATGATGCCAAATCTGGACTGGTTTAGAAGTAGACAGTTGCTCACTTCCTACGGTGCAACAGTGCAGGTGATGCTCCAGTTACTGATGCCCCCTGGCAGTTCACAGTCAGACTGCAGCAGCTCAGCAGTCTTTGGTCCTAATAGCATTTCCAGTGACTCTATAACAAACACACAAGGCTAACACAAACATTCTGACCTGTGCTGATCATATTTACAATTCTCCCACTCTGTTCACTGACTGAAATTCTGATAAACCCTTTGTAAGACCCAGAGTTTGTGCTGACAAGTACTCTGAAAACCCCTCCGTGAGCCCATTGGCTGCAGGTTCAGCCGCTGAGGGTGTCTGAAAACCCCTCTGTGAGCCCCGTGCCTGCAGGTCAGCCGCTGAGCGGGTCCTCTCGGCAGTTGATGGCGTAGAGAAGCCGCTCTGTCATCGTCTCCTGGCTGGAGTACTGCGGCAGCTTGATCATGAACATGCAGGTCTCCACCCGGATGTACCGCGAGTCCGGGGACCCTGGGGTCAGGGCAAAGGGCAAGGGTTAAAGGTGATCATGAACATGCAGGTTTCCACCTGGATGTACCGCGAGTCCGGCGAACCTGGGGCAAAGGGCAAGGGTTAAAGGTGATCATGAACATGCACGTCTCCACCCGGATGTACCACGAATCCGGCGAACCTGGGGCAAAGGGCAAAGGGCAAGGGTTAAAGGTGATCATGAACATCTCCAGTGAGGAGTTTGGTGAACCAGTGGTCATCAGGAGAAAGTGCTTAATAGGTAACTATTTATTAAGTAAATAATATAATAATAAATAAATAATTATATAACTTTCAAATAGCACATAAAGTTACAGTTACATCTATAACTTCCAAATCTGTCAGAACTCCTCTGTTCTGGTACCTTTGCAGTAGTGAAGTGGCCACATTAATGTACAGATGCATACACAGAAAGTGTCCTGACTAGCCAACAACTTAGCATGAAAGTTCATCTGAGTTGGTACAAGTCATTATGAAAGAAAAACTAAGCTTTAACTTCCTACACTTAGATTACAGAATTGGGACTTACCCCAAATTTTCGGTTGACTCCATCAACCTTGTTCACGGAATGGACCTGTCTACTCTTGGAACGTGACGTCAGAGACACGTGACCGTAGTAGCGGGTCATACGTGCCAGATAACTTTTCTGTAGTCTAAGTGTTGGAAGTTACAGCTTAGTCTTTCATGCTAAGTTGTTGGCTAGTCAGGACACTTTCTTCATTTCATAACGAAAAGCTATAAATGCATAAAGACAGAAGGAAAGCTGCAGTTCTGACCTGGTCCATCTGGAGGTGCGATCTTCATGGGGTAGGGCGGGACGTGCGCGGTGTCGGGGCCTCCGTCCTTACAGGGGCACGTGCACGGGATCCGCTCCTGGTTACACGCAAACTTCACAAACTTTCGCAGCTGGTCCTGAGAAAAACTCTCCAGCGAGCTCCAGAAGAACTCTATGTGCGTGTCGGTCTCCATCAGTCCTACCTGGTACATCGTGTGGGACTGGAACACAACACAACATGGAGTTAACATCACAGTTCAACACAACAGTAACAGTTTGTTAACTATTCCAAGCAACACGACAGAAACTCTCCAGAGAACTCCAGAAGAACTCGATGTGCGTGTCAGTCTCCATCAGCCCAACCTGGTACATCGTGTGGGACTGAAACACAACACAACATGGAGTTAACATCACAGTTCAACATAGCCTGACTAAATCGCGCTCCTGGCGGCCGCCGCCCTAGGTTGCCGCCCCCCAAAAGCTTGATGTCAAGCACGCGTAAAGCTGGCGGACTGTCGACGGCCCTGGTCCGCCATATATGGTTAATGAGATGCAAACGTCACGAACGGCCCTCAGACGGTGCGGCACCCAACAGAGATGGTTGCTATGGGCCTGTCGGTCGCTACCCAGTGATGGACGTCGGCGCGCCTTTCATGTCCCAAACTTGAAGTTTGGCCGAGGAAGGCACGGCCACCCGCTCGCGAGTCGAATCTGTTTCTATTTTCCAAAGTTTCTGGAACTTCCTCGTGGAAAAATGGCAGCCACACCGAGAGAAAAGAATCTCATCCACGGATTTGTATTTGGCGTCACGATTTTCACTCGGCTATGTCCACATTTCGCATCTCTGATTAGTTGTAGCGTCCGCTTCCGGCAGCGCCGGCGGTATTGAAAATTGACCGAGCCGACGCGCGTGTAATCAACTTTTCTTTCTTTGATATAAGCGCTAAAATGCTATTTTCCACAACCACACATCGATATTCTAGTGAAGAAATGCATAGTTTCAAGAATCAGTCTCAAAATTATATACTTCTATGCGGATTTTTAACGTTTTTCGTGCCATTTTGTCGTCGCTGAACCCGGAAGTGTTGACCTCGCTCTCGGCGTGAGTTTTCTTTTACCCACAAAGTAATTAATTTCTAGCGTATTTTACCCTGCGTTTTACCGATCAAAACAATAAACAACTCCCGCTGAGGAGAAGCCAGTAACATTTTAGATTCCAGCAATTATAAAGTATCGACAATTTGACAGGAGTCAACATCGTGGCACAAGAATCACAGTCGTCAACCCGCCGTTTTCGCTTGCTCTGCACTGTTTCACGATCTCGGTCTTCTCATAGCCGGTAGGAAGACACGAAACACGTCGTTCTCTGTTTAACGAAAAAATTGTATCGTCTATTCCTGAAGCGGCTCTAGGGGCCAGGGACTCCCAAAGTCCACACACACAGACTCCAGAATGCACAGAAACTCGGTTTCGGGCTAGTCGCAGCCATTTTTCTGAGAAATTCCCACCCGCAGTCGATCAAATTTCTCGTCCCCGCCCGGTACTCCGACCTTCTCCGGCTGCCTGGCGCCGGCCCAGTCGGTTCCCACATTAATTCCTAATACTGGCTTCCTATTGGTGACTCCAGGAAAGGGAACGGGCCGCCCGACTTACAGCTATTCTGCCACAAGCTCTTGGGGTGGGGGTCATTAACCTCCAGCCGAGAGCTTGTGTATACACAGGCTAAGTTCAACACAACAGTTAACTATTCCAAGCAACACGACAGAAACTCTCCAGCGAGCTCCAGAAGAACTCTATGTGTGTTAGTCTCCATCAGCCCTACCTGGTACATCGTGTGGGACTGGAACACAACAGTTAAACTCTGGGTCATGGTTAAGCACAGGGTTATGGTTCAACAACACCGGGTGGCCATTCATCACAGGATCAGGGTTCCACATTGGGTCTGGCTTGAGACTGGGTCATGGTTCAACACAGGGTGATTCAACACCGAATCATTGTTAAACACCTACCCTGTGAAATGCCAGGTTGAAAACTTCCAGAAGTTTTGGTGACAGTTAAATAAACCTACCCTGAGGAGGGCATGTTTAACACTAAGTTAGAGTTAGGTTTTGGTGCAGGTTGGATGAGTTAGATTGTGAGTGAGGATGAACCTACCCTGAGAAAAGCCAGATCCACATGGGGCATCCCGCAGGTCCTGAGCTCGAGGTCAGCCGGGGACAGGATGTGGAAGATCTGGACAGGCACGATGGTGGCTAGCCCGGCCAGCACCGGGGCCATCCGGTTAGAACACCTCAGCTCGTCCAATCGCAGCGCTCGGATGCACAACAGGTACTCCACACGGTTCTCCCACCTACAGCACGACAAAGTCAAGGTTAGGGCACTGCTGCTTCCAGAATCCAAGGTTGTGGATAGTCCACACGTAAATCTACGTTGGATACACAGAGACTATCCAAAATCCGTGCCTACCCCTTTAGGCATAGAACTACTGGTAGATAATAATAAATAATTGCTATATGGCTCACACAGCTGTTACTGGTGCATCAACACTCACGACAGCATCCTGTTAGAGCACATCATACATTTGTAACAGCAGTTACTGGTGCAAGAATTATACACACTAGCGGCCTATCAGCCGGGCTCTATGCCAGCACATACAACTCGCCAGTTCTCTCTATCTAACATTACATTTCCTAAGACTCAAGTTCCATGCCAGTGTCTCTAGTTAAGGTATCAGTAAAAGTCAGACTTAAGTGTACTCGACCTCTTATGGCTTTCAGAGGAGGACGGAAGAAATGATTTCCTGCTTAGCTCTATAACAATGTCCTGCAAATTTTACCCTGTGGCAAGAATTATTATTAATAGTTTTTACTCACGAGAGCATCCTGTTCCTGCCGCCGGGGCAGAGCTCCACGTCCTCGCCCGTCACACTGCTGAAGGTGAACGAACACAGCGGGTGTTCGCCCCCCTCCCCCTCCTGCAGCTGTGCAGGGCAAACCTCGGCACACACCGCCCAGAAATCACTCTCCGTCTCCGCCTACAGGAACACAAGGTCAGGTACAAGGTCATGTACAAGGTCATGTACAAGGTCATGTACAAGGCCATGTACAAGGTCACACTGCCCCCCCTCCCCCTCCTGCAGCTGTGCAGGGCAAACCTCGGCACACACAGCCCAGAAATCACTCTCTGTCTCCGCCTACAGGAACACAAGGTCAGGTACAAGGTCATGTACAAGGTCATGTACAAGGTCATGTACAAGGCCATGTACAAGGTCACACTGGCCCCCCTCCCCCTCCTGCAGCTGTGCAGGGCAAACCTCGGCACACACAGCCCAGAAATCACTCTCTGTCTCAGCCTACAGCACACAAGGTCAGGTACAAGGTCAGGTACAAGGTCACACTGCTGAAGCTACACAGTTCACCCCACTAACTATAAAATAGAGGCTAGTCACTTAGAAAAAGGAAAGGAATAGAAATACCTCTGCCAGCCTAGTGATGTAGTTGAAGGTCAGAATGTCGGCCTCTTGAAGGTCGTCCTCATCAAGTGGCAGCCCCACCAGACCCTTCCAGAACGGGGTCAAAAGGTCAAGGGGCAGGGGCACATCAGCACGAACCGCAACTCCCAACAGCTGCAGGAACAACACATGAACAGCACATGAACAACATGATAACAGGACATGAACAGCACATGAACAACATTGTGAACAGCACACGAACAGCACATGAACAACATGTGAACAGGACATGAACAACACATGAACAGCTCATGAACAACATGATAACAGGACATGAACAGCACATGATCAACATTGTGAACAGCACACGAACAGCACATGAACAACATGTGAACAGGACATGAACAACACATGAACAGCTCATGAACAGCACATGAACAGCACATGAACATGTGAAACAGAACATGAACAGCACGTGAACAGGATCATGAACAACATGTGAACAGCACATGAACAACATGTGAACAGGACATGAATAGCACATGATCAGTACATGAATAGCACATGATCAGTACATGAATAGCACATGATCAGTACATGAACAGCACATGAATAGTACACAACCACTAATTACAGGCTACAACACAGGAAAAGAGAGGTTTGTTTTACCTGTCCTAAAACTCCAGGTAGTTTTCTTCCCCGTATGTGAGTGGTCCTGGTCTGAGGATGTACTTCCCCTGGAAAACAGTTCAGAAGAAACGTGTTCTGTATTATTTCAATGTTAGAAAGAAGTACATTGTATACAATGAAGACAGGTCTATCTATATATTAGATACTAGATATTGTATCTTCTGGACTAACCTTGTTCCTATTGGCTGTTGCCGAGGGACAGAGCATGAGGAGGTTGAGGATTGGTCCCTGCAGTTCCTTACACACCTGCCACAGGAAGTGGCGGAACGAACCACCTGGGGGGAAAATGTAGCCATTTAGTATCAATTTACTGAGTCAGACGTACAGTAGTAGAAATATGTATTCATTTTGTGACATCATCATCATCATCCTAGCTAACGTTATATTTCTGACATATAGTGGGGGGAAAATGTATCCATAAATATTCATTCTTGGGGCATACAGTATTTTTCACAAAACACAAGGACAAGTGAAAGCCTAATAATATGTGAAGAGAGACATTTATCAGTTCTACTCACTGGTGCATTGGACTAGTCTCCCCTCAAGAGAACAAGTTAAAACAACCAATCAACCATCTAATGGACCTATCACATTATTACGTCACAGTTTGTTTACCTGTTCTAAAGAACATTCTAGAATGGTCAGTTAAAGAATTTAAAAAGATCATTTCAAAGTTTTCAAACTAAGGTATGTCTAGTTGTGTTGACACAGCATTACATGCTGCATGGGTGATTAATTTTAGTTGTGACATTAGACGAAAGTAGTACAGTATTAAAAGCCTTATATTAGGCTAACGCTACACAAACACACACTGCGCTACGCACCCCTGTACAATATAAATGTTGATTGACCGGCATTCATTGCGGTAAACAAACTGTGACGTAATAATGGTATAGGTCCATTGGACTCACTTGTGCCGTGCACCTCCTCTCCAGTAAACCTGACATTGAAGGCGTAAGTCGGGTCTCCGCCACTGGCGAGCTTCACGCACAGCTGGGAGGACGGGACGATGCTGAGCTGCCGCGCCGCCTGGCAAAACTGTGTTCCCATGGCTGTCACCGCCTCTCCTGTGGGATTAGACAGGATTAGACAGGATAACTGTGTCCCCATGGCTGTCACTGCCTCTCCTGTGGGATTATACAGGATTAGACAGGATTAGACAGGATTAGACAGGATAACTGTGTCCCCATGGCTGTCAGTGCCTCTCCTGTGGGATTATACAGGATTAGACAGGATTAGACAGGATAACTGTGTCCCCATGGCTGTCACTGCCTCGCCTACATGTTCAAAACAGGATTATCTTTGGATTATCTGGGGATTAACATTCTCGGGCAAAATTTCCACAGGCAGGGTGACTTTTGGTCAGCTGGTGATTTTCAAATCCTAATCTCCAAGCAGATCCCAGGGTGGCAAAAGACAGTATCAAATTGCAACCCTAGGATCTGCTTGGAGATTATGGAAATCCCACATCCAAATGACAGAATCCAATGGACGAATGAAAAGGATTCTCCTGACCTCCGACGATCTCGAGTGGGTCGAGCGTGATCTCGGGCGCGGCCTGGCTCGGGTTTCGCTGCGCCGTGGCGTTCAGGATGCTGTTCATCACAACAACCTGCAGAATAAACAAACAAACATCAACAAGCTTGTAGACAACAAAACATGAAGTTGCACACCCGAGATGGGTAACACGACAAACGATACCTGATGATATTACAACAACCACTAACATACATGTACATGTACCTTGCACCAAAACCGACTAAGGCAACAGTTATGTAGGGTTTTATTTCAGTGAATGTAGGCAAGTTTAGTGAATGTAGGCAAGTTTAGGCCTATACTTATTTCTTTTGTTTCTGTGAATGTAGGTTAGTTTATCCCTACTAATGTGTAGTACATAATGTCCTTGCCTGTATAATGAAAAGGAGCTAGAAGACTGTTTTACAGATAATGGCTCTAACAAACAAACAAACAAACAAGCAACCCGCCCGACCTTAGTGTCGTAGAACATGAGTCTCCTGGCGTGTGACAGCAGCGCCGCCGTGCTGTTGGGGTACGTCCTGCAGGGTCGGAGGTCAACCAGTGGTAGGAAGAACGTCTCCAAGGTGTTGTTCAAGGACAGTAGAAGGGCAAATCTCAGTCTGAGACTCTCCACCGGGACTCCTGAAAGGAACACACATCGAGGGTGTCTTTAAGTTCAGTCCTAGTAAACAAACTTAAAGAAACAGATGTCAAGCGTGTCTTAAAGTTTACTTCTAGTAGCCAAGCTTAAAGGGTGTCTCAACTTCAACTATTAGTAACCAAACGTGTTATTCAACAGACGTAAAGGGTGTTTTATCTCAAATTAAACAGCTTAATGCAACACCCAGTTTGCTTGATCAAAGAGGTACATGATTGTATGTCTCTCTAGGATAGACTCTTTTCCATATGTGTGGTGGGTTCTTATGGAGCACATGCCTAATGCAGGTATAGCTCATGTGGATGGATAAAACAAACAAACAAACAAACAACCTACCTTGCAAACAAGCAAATGCCGGACTGGCGAGTTCAGCCTCCCGCAGGTACAATTCGTGTGGGTGGAGCCGCGCCGCGCTGATCGCCAAGTGCCGGCACAGAGAGTCGACGTACTCCACAAGCGCACAGTCCATCTGCAGGGTCCACTGTTTACTGGTCTGTACAGCATGGGCCGTGTCCACACACGCACATCTGGGGGGCAGAACAGTAGGGTTAGGGTTAGGTTAGGCACAGTCCATCTGCAGGGTCCACTGTTTACTGGTCTGTACAGCATGGGCCGTGTCCACACATGCACATCTGGGGGGCAGAACAGTAGGGTTAGGGTTAGGCACAGTCCATCTGCAGGGTCCACTGTTTACTGGTCTGTACGGCATGGGCCGTGTCCACACACGCACATCTGGGGGGCAGAACAGTAGGGTTAGGGTTAGGGTTAGGCACAGTCCATCTGCAGGGTCCACTGTTTACTGGTCTGTACAGCATGGGCCGTGTCTACACAGGCACATCTGGGGGGCAGAACAGTAGGGTTAGGGTTAGGGTTAGGGTTAGGCACAGTCCATCTGCAGGGTCCACTGTTTACTGGTCTGTACAGCATGGGCCGTGTCCACACACGCACATCTCAGAAATTTTCGATTTTCCAACTTTGTGTTGACCAACACAAATTTTCCAACTTTGTGTTGGTCACATAAAGTTTAACTGTTATCTTTTCACCTGTCGAAGTGCAGGTCGTATCCGCAGGCCAGGATTGCCTTCCACACGGATCGAGCATCTTGTTTCGTCTTGTCTGCCACGAACAGCAGGAAGCCCTCCAGAGTCAGGTACTTGTCTTCTGGTGTCTCCCTCTTCGCTCCGTCCTCCGACTGGTCCTTCCCCGGCTTCCCTGGCTTCTCCTGAGGCTTCGACTTGCCTTTCTTCTCACCGGGGCTAGGTCTGGAACAGGAGGGGAGAAAAAACATGTTATCATCCTAACTCAGACTTTGTCTGGAAGAAGAAAACCATCAAGCCATCCCAAATCCAGCAGCTAAGCGCTTGTGTCTTTTTTTTTATTTCTTCTCACCAGGGCTCGGTCTGGAACAGGAGGGAAGAAAAAACATGACTAATTATTGTCCCAAATCAGACTTTGTCTAAAACAGAAAGGAGCAAATTATTAAGTCATCCTGAATCAAACTTTTTCTGAAATAGAAAACCATCAAAGTTAACCATCTAAAAAAAACCATGTTAATATCATCCCAAATCAGACTTGTCTGGAAGAGAAAAACATGAAATAAGAAAACCATCAAAGCATCCTAAATCCTACAGCTAAGCTCTTGTGTTTTTTTTTGTTTTAATTTCATGATATTACAAACTTTATTTAAGTCTTTATTTACAACTAGCCTGTTAGGAGTTTGCACGAAAGCTTGCATCTGATGTTAACATAAAACATATGAGCTGAATGTTAGAAATTAAAGACTCCTTATGATAACCAAGAGCTAGTTGGGTAGCCCTGACTGTGTCTTCAGCCAATTGTGTATTCAGCTCGAAAAATTTATGTCCCTTGCAGGGATCCACTCAAAAAAAAGGCTGGGGTCATCAGTTTTTTCTAGGGTTGGTCGGGAAACAGGAAACACAACTTTTTTAAAACTACATGAGATAGTCTGCTCACTTCTGCACGACCGCCTTTGCCCCGGTGACCTCCGCCAGAGCCAGTTTCTCCTTGCTGGGCTTCTGCGCCAGCTTCTTGCCCGACGGTTTCCCGTTTCCCAGCTTCGGTCCCTTCCACGGTTTCTCCGACTCCTTCAACTTCGGCTTCGGCACCCCGTATCTTCTCAACACCTAGTGACAACAGATGGGTACGGAGTAAATTGAATAACGTGGCACACAATAATTCAATTCAGTTCATTTCCAACTTGTTGTGTTTACCACTGTTGGGCCCTGTATGATGCAGTAACTGTACAAAAGGTTTAGAACTTTTGAAATCTCATCCAATTATAAGCTGTGGAGATCCTTCAGTTGGCATTAAACAGACCTGGTTGTGTAGTACTAGTACTAGTACTACAGTGTAGTACTAGTACTACTCAGAACCAGCCTGAGAAAGTTGATTCTCACCTGTGAAACTTTTGACACCTGATTCTCACCTGTGACACTTGCTCCATGAATGATTTTTTCGGCCCCTTGATGTTGGAGAAGAAGGCGTGCAGGTGGTTCATGGGAGTCTGCAGGGAGATCTGGTCCTTCCCAAGATGCACCAGCTCGTGCTGCTCCAGTTCGGGAGACTCCAGACTGAAGGCGTGCTCCGAGACGACGCAGCTGTGGAAGATTTCTGTCAAGACGTCTTGGGCTTTCTGGGTCAGACCGCTGGCTGATGACTTTGACAGGATCTACAGAGGGTAGAATGAGAACATGGGAGTTAACAGTGTCAAACTCTCTCAGTTACAAACTAGTAACTGAAGGCGTGCTCGGAGGCAACGCAGGAGTGGAAGATTTCTGTCAGCACGTCCTGAGTTTCCTCACATAAAGCAGGCAACTATGGGTTCCTACAGTACCTTGTGCCTGAGATAGTCCCCGAGTGCAGGGCTGCCCTGAGGGTCAGACAGCAGGTTAAGGTTGACAGACAGACAGACAGACAGACAGACAGCCTACCTTGTGCCTGAGATAGTCCCCGAGTGCAGGGCTGCCCTGAGGGTCGGACAGCAGGTTAAGATTGACAGACAGACAGACAGACAGACAGACAGCCTACCTTGTGCCTGAGATAGTCCCCGAGTGCAGGACTGCCCTGAGGGTCAGACAGCAGGTTAAGGTTGACAGGGCTGACTGACAGCATGTCGTCCGTTGTCACGTCAATCAGTTCCTCCGTGTCGTAGGTCACCACGCCCACGATGGCTTTGCTGGACAGCAGGGCGGATCGCACGTCGTCCATTTTGCTCTTGGAGCGTATCTCCACCACGGCGTAGCCCTTGATGCAGGGGGGTGCGAGCGGGGAGGGGGGCGGCCCGTCAGGGGGGAGGTCTGCCGAGGGGCTGTCCTGCTCCGGGGAGGCCAGGGGGGCCGGGAGGGGGGCGCTGTCCAACGTGCTGGCCAGCAGCTGCTGTGTCTCAAGGTCGGCGGCTGTGCTGGCCTCATCGCCCATGGCAACCTGGCCTCCGACACTGGCAGCCTCCTCCAGCCCGGCTTCTACCTGATGACAAACAGACCAGAATGGCGATGAGTACGGATAATGAATAAAAGACCTTACTCTTTATTGCACATTTATGCTCTTATAAGCTAAGTACAGGTCATGAATGAAGCAGAAGTCAATTTATAGCAACACTCGCAGCCTGCTTCTACCTAATGACAAAAAGACTGGAATGGCTATAAGACTGGGTAATGGCTTTGTGTGTCTATTAATTTTGTCCTCAGAGTTCGTAGATTTGTACATGTTTATTTGCCCTGTAAGTAGTTTTTGTACATTTTGCCTTTACTGTTTTGTTTCTTGTGCATTACATTGTGTATTCTATGTTTCCAAATATTTATTCTGTGTCCAGGGCCCCAGTTGAGAAGCAGCTGTTTAATCACTGAGTGGGCTACCCTGGCTATAGAAAACAAACATATTAAAATTAATAAATAAATAAAAAAATACCTCCCCCACATCCTCCGGTTCTGCCGCCTGCCCTTCTGCTGTCTGCTCTACAGGCGCGGCCGACGGTGACAACACTTCCCCCGGCGGCACGGGCAGGTCTTCCTTCTCCTGCAGGGGCACGAACACCTCGTCCCTGAACAGCCCGCCGTACATGTTACAGGCCTGAAACATAAGTATCACACTACCTGTTACACATGATCATTTTCTTACTTACACACATTCCTTGTTAAATCTAAAAGATTCTTTGCCTTTTCCAGCTGAGCCAAATGTAGAATTGCTGCCCAAAAAATTACTATAAAAATACAAGACGTGATTTACTGGTCAGGATAGTGTTATTATTGTATATGCCTTAATTACATCTATCTAATATGTAGTAAGTGTAATTTTGGTGTGCACGCTATCACTATAGTATCAGCATACTGGCTGACTAATGCACACCTTGTATTGTTGTGTCATGATTTTGAATATTAATATTAAATAAATGAATAAATGTCCCACACCTTCCTGATGGCGTCCCTGACCGCCCCCTGCTCCAGGTGCATGGGAATCCCCGACAGCACCAGCAGGCGGGAGTGGGCGGTGGGGACGGTCAGCGTCTGGCATGCGTCCGCTACAGCGTCGTTTGTTACAACCTCTCCCTGCGGGTCCCGGAAGGCCAGGTACCTGGAAAATGTAATTATATTGTTACAAAGGAAAACATATTGTTTTTGCTCAGTTTCCTCTTCCTCTTCTTCTTCTCCAAACACTAACCTCTGACCTGGCCAATGACCTGATTTGTTGACATCTGTCACCATGGTAACATCATTGGGTTACATCATGTTACAATTTTATAGCAGGAGGGATTTAGACTCCTGTCTGACCATATGAATGTGTTATAAATATAAGTTTAAGAATTAACAAGGCAGACAATATGTGAAGGTAAACATTATGTATTTGCTTTGAAAATGTTACCTTTCTAGTTTAATGCTTAATATTATCATATGGCCAGGTGACGTTTACCAATTAGAAGGCTTCATTCCACATGGCTCATGCAGTAATGTCTGACTCACATAATAGAGTCGAAACTGTTATTTATTCAAAGCAATCCATTAATTAAACACTCCAATAATCACCCGCAATTGACCTCAGGTGACCCAAATAGAACACGACCTTGTTCCAAAAAATCCCAAAATAACTTATGTTCCAATGACCTCGGGTGACTCCCATATAAGGAAGATGTGTTCCGTGCCAATGACCCAAATAGAACACGACCCTGTTCCAATGATTCGGTGAACTCATATGAACACTTCAAAGAAGCCATGTGACAAGCTTCACTGGGTCAGTCTACTGAGGAAGACCAGAGTGACTGGTCGAAAGCTCTAGGTGAGAGAATTTTTCGTGTTGGACCAAAAGTTTTAACTTTAAACATGTAACTAACAACACAGATGAACTTTCATGATCATATGAACCCTGGTGGAACAAACATACCTCAGGATGAGAGACATGGTGACGGCCCGGTGGAACCACAGCATCTCCTCCGGCTTGCTGCCCATAGAAACGCCCCCTTCTGACTCGGGGTGGAGCTGCGGCTTGTGCTTCCCGCCCATCGCTCCCCGGTCCCGCTCCCGTCTCGCACGGATTTTCTCCGTTTGGCGCCGAGCATGGGACTGGGCGGGGACGCCGAGGGGTACGGGTACGGCGCTCCGCTGGGGGCGGGGGTTGCCGAGGTAACGGCCGTCGCCGTGGTTACGGGAACGGTGGTTCCGACAGGAGACGTGACCTCTGCCACGGCCAGCGCCACCTGAAATCACACATTTGTATATTAATAAATTATAATTATATTACTTACTACTAATTTCATTTGGGGAAGGCCCATGAACAACTACTAACAAGGGTTACAGACCTCCCAAGCATATTTGTCCATTTTTTGTCATATGTAATTTGTATATACTAGTAATATGTGCAAATACTTAGTATCACACACTTGTGTATTAATATTATATTTACTATTTCGTTTGAGGAAAGCCTGCAAAAAACTACTAACTTATAAATTATGGTTACAGGCCTCCCCAGCATATTGGTCCATTTTTTGTTATTTTATTTTGTTTATTGTGGGTGACAGCTATTCTTTCAGGAGAGGGTAGAGTACATGTAAATATTAAAAACATATATACAATACATCAATAAGTACATTAAGTTATTTAAAAGAGAAAAATGTGTAGCATCGTAACGTGTTTTACTTATTTGATTATGTATTTTGCTTATTATGTGCAAACCAACCCACCTCCATGAGTGCGTGGAAGTACGAGGAGAAGCGGGAGTACTCTCCGCTGCCGATGACGTCGGACCGCGTGCGCCGCTTGTTCTCGTGGTCGTACAGCTTCCGCAGCTCGGCCTGGAGACTGACGTGTGTCAGCAGCGCGAGGGACGGGCTGAGGGTGAGTAAACACACGTCGCCGTCCTCCTTACGTGGCTGAGATGCTCGCAGGAGCTCTGCTAGCAGGTGGAACATCACCTGGGGGGGGGACAGAGAACAATAAACTGTATATACCACACATTTACTGATATTGTACGTTTGGGAATTCATCTATAGCAGCGACACCTGTGCTGCAGTGCATTTTAAACCAGTCAGAATTGCCCTGAGGAAGGTGAAAGAGAAACATTGACTCAATAAACCTCTCGGTTGTGTAAAAAGAGTCTCTTTACTCAGTGACTGAAGAAACTATTCGCAGACATTGTACCTACCTCCTTCAGTGCTGCCGGGACGTCAGACTTCCAGACGTATCCGCCCAGCAGCTCCACCAGATGCACAAACGCACCGGCTGGGATGTCGTATGAACTTGCCGCTTGCTCCTCCATCCTCCCATCCTTACTGTCCACCTGTCAACAACAACAACAACAACAATAAACATCAACGCGCCGGCTGGGATGTCGTATGAGCTGGCTGCTTGTTCCTCCATCCGAACGTCCTTACTATCTACCTGTTAGAGAGCAAACACAACCACAGGACACTCATGAATAACACTAAAAAGGTAACGTTAAGTCTTACTCAGACACATTCCTTATATGGTGACAGGAGACAGTCTGAATCCCTCCTGCTATAAAATTGCAACATGATGTAACCCAACACCAGTTTCCTGGGCTGTAAATTTAGAGAAATGAATATTATTTAACCATTCTACTTCTACTTCTACTACTTCTACTACAGCCCAGGAAACTGGTGTTGGGTTACATCATGTTGCAATTTTATAGCAGGAGGGATTCAGACTGTCTCCTGTAACAGGTAACAGTAACTACTACTGTAACAGTAACTACTACTACTGACTACTACTACTAACTACTACTACGNTAAACCGGACATTTAAGTGTGTGTGTGTACTAGAATGATTTGTCTATTATTATTATAATATCTAATATATTTTTCACTAAAACATCAAACAGCAAACCTGGTGCTTCACGCTGATCAGCTCCTCTATGAAGGATATGGCGAGCGCGAACTCAGGCGGAACGGCGTGGATCGTCACCACGTAACCGGGCGGGGGGGACACGCCCACGCGAACGTGCACGCGGTCGCACGGCAGGACAGCCGGCGGGTACTGGTCAGCGAGCGGCGGGGGCGTCAGGCCACCGGTTCCCGCGATTGCCGCGTCACGAGGGTAGCACGTCACCTCCTGGAGCGCAACATGGCCGTTCTTCCGCAGCTGGTGGCCGATGCCGTAGCAGAACAGCCGGGCCCACGGGGACTTGTACAGAGCAGTACTGGGGAGAGAGCACAGTTAACAATAGTTACTGTTAACACTAATTACTGTTAACACTAGTACTCCAGCTGGTGGCCGATGCCGTAGCAGAACAGCCGGGCCCACGGGGACTTGTACAGGGCAGTGCTGAAACATTAACAATAACTACTGTTAACACTATTAACACTAATTACTGTTAACACTAAATACTCCAGCTGGTGCCCAGGGGGACTTGTACAGGGCAGTACTGATCGAAAGTTTTAGGTGAGAGAACTTCTTTGTGTACGATCAGATCAGACTGAAGTTTTAACTCTAAACATGTACATTAATGTATCTACCAAGTGAACACAGATGACAGAAAAGGGAAAACAGTGTCCTTACTCCTTCCTGGGCACGTCAGGGTCGGTTCTGCAGGACACGACGAGGAAGGCGGCGCCGGGAAAGTACGCGTCCGTGTTCACCTTCGTCTCCGTTACCGGGAACTCTTCGTACGCAAACAGCTCCGGCGCAGTCTGCAAGGGAGAATAGTACAGTTACTGTAACAGCATTATCTTCAGCTGCACTGCACAGACTGCTGGTGTGTAGCTCGTTAGAATGGCATTGTAAGAACCAAGAAATGTTGGCACTATCCCTGATCTCTAACCCTGACCCACCTGCAGACAGGCGCACAGCTGGTCGGACAGGTCGATGAGCGTGTCCTCCCCGTGACACGCTGCCATGACGATGGCATTGCGCAGCTCCTCGCGCAGCGGGTGGTCGCGGCTGTGGAACACGGTGGAGGCGGCGCAGCCGTGCGTGACCAGGCAGCGCTGCGGGCTGACCGAGTCCTCCAGCGACAAGGTAACCACGCTGCCGTTCGGCGCCGGGCAGGACAGCAGCTGGTTGGACAGCAGCTGCATGTAGTCGGGGTCAATGTCGCGGGACAGCGAGCTGAAGGTCTCCACCATGGACGGGACGGGACAGCGGTCCAGGATGTGTGGCCGGCAGTGGGACAGCAGGGACAGCAGCGCTGTGCGACAGTAGTAGTGCACCAGCGACGACTCACACTGCAGCAGTTGTCTGGGGGGGACAGTACAAGGTTATTACTGTGGGACAGCAGGGACAGCAGCGCTGTGCAACAGTAGTAGTGCACCAGCGACGACTCACACTGCAGCAGTTGTCTGGGGGGAACAGTACAAGGTTATTACAGTGGGACAGCAGAGACAGCAGGGCTGTGCGACAGTAGTAGTGCACCAGCGACGACTCACACTGCAGCAGTTGTCTGTGAGCCAGAAATATTGAACAGCACAGGACATTAAATTTTGAGCAAAAGTTACTGATAAAGTAAAACTGGTAAAATCAGAATTTCACCAAAACCTGTATTGCCAGAATTGCAGAGAAGTATTGTACACAAAGGTGTCTTGTGCAGTGCAGTTAGGTGCCTGACCTGTGGATCTGTATGTTGGAGGTGTCCATGTTGGCCACTCCTGTGATGGACGCCTTTCTGGTGCCCTGTGGGGGCCTTTCCAGCATGTCGATCGGGTACCAGTATCTCACCAGGACCCCCTCACTGCGCAGGTAGGTCTCAACTTGCACAAGCTCGTTATGCTGCAGGGAAACATCACAGATATGTAAATATGCAGAATCCAATTTGCATACTCAGGACGGGTTATTGTACCAGTAAAGTACCTGGACCGCTCCGCAGGTATATCTCAACTTGCACGGGCTCGTTATGCTGCAGGGAAACATTACAGAATCTACATAAATATGCATAATCTAATTTGCATACTATCATCTAATTTGCATACTCGGGACCGACTATTGCACATTCAAGTCAAGTAGCACACCAATCAACAGAATAACTCACAGAGTCCACATCAAGCACAACGGGATGCTGAAGAAAGTCTTCACCATCCCGCGAACAGCAAACTTGGGCAGCACTGTACATAAATCTGCATAATATCATCTAATTTGCATATTCGGGACGGACCATTGCACATGCACCAATCCACAGAATAACTCACAGAGTCCACATCGAGCACAACCCCAGTAGAGCCGAAAGTCCTCGGCATTCCGCGTACGGCAAACTTCGGCAGCACGGTACTTCCCATGGTCAGTCATTTGCATAAATCTGCATATCTTATTTGCATACTCGGGACACACTATTGTGTTAACCAATAAACTACAGAAATCAAGAGAACTCACCGAGTCCACATCGAGGACCACTCCTGTTGATCCAAATGTCTTCAGCATCCCGCGTACAGCGAACTTCGGAAGCACGGTACTTCCCGTGGTCAGCACGCCGGCCGTCTGTGGGTGTCGGATTACCACCGTCATGCCCTTCCGAACCCGCTCGATCGTGAACTTCACTGCGAAGGGAAACATAAGAAAGAGCAGAAAATGTCACGGACTTTCGCACTCAGTCAGAGATCATAAAAATGTACTCAACCGAATTAGCTTCAAGCTCCATGTCTGTAAACTTTGTAAGAGACATTCTGAAACAAAAACATATTTGACAGGTTTTCTTCAGGACTGGTGGGATTCTTGTGTGGGACTTGATGTATAATAACCAAGCATAATTGCAAATGCTACAGATTGAGTGCAGTAGATTGCCCATTCCTTGCCAAAAACAACAAGAGTTCAACAGTTTGGATAAGTTTATGTTGGAAATTACAGTTCAAATTTGCTAGAGAAGACGAGATCTGAATCGGGTTGATGAAGAGACAGAGTACGTCTCGAAAGCTCCCCAGCATAGCTGACCTTTTGTTGTGTTTATGTATAAATATTTTGTCAAAAGCGACTTACTTGCTTCCGCCCGGATGTCCTCTATAGTGGGAAGGTGCAGGTCTCGGGGCATCCCTCCATTTTCCTCGTACAAAAACTCAACAGTCTGTCGGGCGATGTCCACCATACCTGCAACACACGATATAAACAATCACACTAACCCTAACCCTGCAACACACACAGCACAAACAGTCACAGAAACTCCACAGTTTGTCGGGCGATGTCCACCATACCTGCAACACACGATATAAACAATCACACTAACCCTAACCCTAACCCTAACCCTGCAACATACAACATAAACAGTCATAAACACATACAGCACACAAAACACAGACACAAACAACACAGCCACACTAACCTTAACACTAACCCTAACCCTGCAACATACAACACGGACAACCACAAACAGCCCTCCCAGAGTCGCAGGGAATCAAAGTTCACAATGCCGTAGCATCTTCCCATGCAGATTCAACAGTCATCAATGCAATTCAAACATGACAGAAGAAGTCACTTAAAGTTGTTGTGACCGGAACATACCAACGGACCAGAATATGGACTATGAGTATGCATAATGGCTTAAATTTATTTATGTTTAGTATTTGTCCTTAAAGTTTGTAGATTCATACTAGGTATGTTTGTTTTGTCCTGCAATTACTTTCTGTACGTTTGGCCATTTTATTTCTTGTATCATTTGTATGTTTTTCATGTGTTCTGCATCCAGGGCCCTTCACTGAGTGAGTGGGCTACCCTGGCTAAAGTAAACAAAAATAAATAAACATCACCCACCCAGCTGCAGAGCCCCTTTGATCTGCTCCAGGCCAGACTTGCGCTCGGCCTCGTTGCGGAAGCGGCGGCGGATCGTGGGGAAAACTTTCTGTTCCCAGGCTTTAACCAGCAGCGCGTAGTGGTCCTCCTGCTGGAGGTCCTCTTCTGCATCTTCATCATCACTCTCATCCTCCTGCTGCAGTAAACATCACCATGGTTACCTCACAAACATCACCATGGTTACCTCACAAACACACAAACAACACAAAGTGATCCTCCTGCTGCACCAGAGTTCTAACCCTGGCTGGAAACTTGCACTCCTTACCTGTACAAGAGTTCTATATAACCTTGGCTGAAAACTTGGAGTCCTCACCTGTACCATGTTCTATACATGTATAACCCTGGCTGGAAACTTGCACTCCTTACCTGTACAAGAAGCGGTGCTCTCATGTCAGGTCCTGACGTCAGGAAGTTGTCGTAACTCAGCTGCAGTCGGTACTGCACAGCCAGGCTGCTGTTGTACTCTGGGGAGAGATAAAATGAAGATAACAATTATTTCATCATTACAGCCATTGAACAGCTAACCAGCATCAAGTGCAAACAATATAGACTGGTTTATTGTTGATAAACAAATAAATCCCAGGACCCACTGGCAGCCGAGATGCATTCGGCTGAATGCTTAATATGTAGGCTTCTTTGGATTGTGTTTTGAAACAATACGTTGTCTTTAAAACTTGTCTGCTGTCATGAAACGTCTATTGCTATAAATTAAGGACGAGTTGCATCATTCTTTAGTTATGGCACGGTAACCAGTGTGTGCTTCTCTAGAAACAAGTATGTTGCTGTGGGAACAAGTGTGTTGCTATGGGAACCATTGTGTTGCTATGGGAACAGGTGTGTTACCATGGGAACCAGTGTGTTGCTATGGGAACCAGTGCATTACCATGGGAACTTACGTGGCTGAGCCTCGGGCGCCATGGCGATGCGGACGGGGGGTCCCTGGGGCGGGGTCTCCTCCTCCCCCGAAGCGCCCGCGGCCGCCGTCTCGCTGTCGCTGTCACGATTCAAGATTTAAGATTAAACATTGCAGTGAGACCACTGAAGCACATCCAATTTACAAAGTTTAAAAACAATTCACTACTAACAAACGGTATTTTACATTAGAGATGCATTCAATTTGGCTATTCAAAAATATTGCAATCTTTAACAATAAGTATTTCTCCTCTGGTCTCTCAGTCACTGACGAAAGGTAGTGCCTGGACACTACCTGAAATGTCTGACCGTTTCCAAAATCATATCCAGTTGCTTGTCGATGAGTAACTGCTTTTTGGCCTCCCAATAACTTGTACTGAACTTGTAGAATTGGTGCAACACGTCGCAGGAACGTTAGTAAGTATAGTACACTGCAGTACCTCACGGGAGCAGAGTATACTGTTAACAGTAGTAACTGTAACTAGTACACTGCAGTACCTCACGGGAGCAGAGTATACTGTTAACAGTAGTAACTGTAACTGTAGTACACTGCAGTACCCTACGGGAGCAGAGTATACTGTTAACAGTAGTAACTATAACTGTAGTACACTGCAGTACCTCACGGGAGCAGAGAATACTGTTAACAGTAGTAACTGTAACTGTAGTACACTGCAGTACCTACGGGAGCAGAGTATACTGTTAACAGTAGTAACTGTAACTGTAGTACACTGCAGTACCTGTCCTCGCCCAGGTGAAAGGGCAGGAGGCCGAAGGTCGCGCTGATCTCCTCGGTGGTGTCGGCCGACATGTCCGCGGCGTTCCGGTGGTGCTGACCCTCAGCAAACGCAAAAGGCCGCGACCCGAAGTTCGCTCGGATTCGCGTGTTCTGGGGGGGAATACAGTACTACTGTTAGTATATAATAATGAATCCCCCCACACACACGTTCCGGTGGTGCTGCCCTTCCGCAAACGCAAACGGGCAAGAGCCAAAGTTCGCCCGGATTCGCGTGTTCTGGGGGGGAATACAGTACTACTGTTAGTATATAATAATGAATCCCCCCCACACACACGTTCCGGTGGTGCTGACCCTCCGCAGACGCAAACGGGCGGGACCCGAAGTTCGCTCGGATTCGCGTGTTCTGGGAAATACAGAACCATCGTTACCTAAGGTAGGCTACTCTGACTACACACAGTTTTTAACCATGTTTAGTACTTGTATGTACCATATGTACATTTGAGTTACTTTACTTTTATTTGACTTGTGTTGTCAAGTTGGATGGTTCACTTCTTTTGTTACTTTTCTTTTGTTGAATAAATAAAAAAAAACATGTTTGGGAACTCTGGTTCATTACGTATACCTGCAGACTGCCTGGCCTTTTGTGTTCACTTCTTTGGTTGCATACAAGACAATTCATATATGTACATATACTCATCGTGCATTTCTTTAGCTAGAATCAATAATAATTATTGTTGTGTACAAAATAAACAGTGGTAACACGGCATGCTCTACATTTTCTCCAGAATTCCACACAATCTTAGGAACCTGCCTGACCTTTGCACCTTGTATCTACAGGACAAACACCTGCAGCACCAATGGCATCAGGCAGGTGGTGCTGTTTTGCCCTACCTTTTCCTGGATGTGGATGACGGGCCACATGAACACCTGCAGCACCAATGCCATCAGACAGGTGGCACTGTTTGCCCTACCTTTTTCTGGATGTGGATGACAGGCCACATGCCCCCCTGCAGCACCAATGCCATTAGACAGGTGGCACTGTTTGCCCTACCTTTTTCTGGATGTGGATGACGGGCCACATGAACACCTGCAGCACCAATGCCATCAGACAGGTGGCGCTGTTTTGCCCTACCTTTTTCTGGATGTGGATGACGGGCCACATGCCCCCCGAAACGTCGTCAAGAACTGCAGGCAGCCGCTGGCCGTTGTACGTGAAGTACACGCGACCTTTGACCTGCTCCCCTTGGACGGAGGGCGCCTCTCCGACGCGTTCCCAGCCGATCCCGGCGACATCGCCTGCCGAAAGCGTGACGTCCAGGCGGGCGCTTTTCCACTGCAGCAGGCTGGAGCCGTTATAGTGTACAGCTCTGCCGTTACTGTGGAAGGGGGAGGAAATATACATAAATTTGCGTAAGTTAATTTGCATACATGGGACAAATGACATGCTCCCAGCTCTGCCATTACTGTGGGAGACATAAATCTGCATATATATATCATTTGCATATTTGGGACAAATATCAAGTATCATACTGAGATGGGCGCTTTTCCACTACAGAAAGGTCGGAAAGCTCTTCCGTTACTGTAAAATATTACATCAATCCCACTTCAGGACTAGCAAGGCAGTCAGAGATGGCAGACTTCACCCCCTTACCCATGGTGCTTTGTGCGCTCCAGACTTACTTGTGGAAGAGGACAGTTCCGACCGGGTTGGTCCAGGCGCCGTCGCGCTTCTCGGCCGTCGGAGCGAAGCCGAAGGAGATGATTGGTCCACTCTCATCGTCCGTCTCACCGAAGGAGCAAACCTCGATCTCCCAGTAGAAGGACGGAGCCTAAAGAACAAAGTAACATCATCAATAAACAAACAAACAAACAAACAAACATCACCAGTCCAGTACATTAAGAACAAACCGCAATCTCCCAGTAGAAGGATGGAACCTAAAGAACAACATTAACATCACCAGTACACAAAATTGATTTGTTCACTATTTATTTGACTCATGTTGTCCTGACATATATGGAGAGAGAGACAGTAAAGACTGTACTGATGGAGGGTTTGCTTGTACTAATTCATGTACCTGTGAGGCATGCAGGAAGGTTAGTTAATGTAACTGGAATGTACCTGTGATGTGAAAGCTATAGCTTAAGCATACCTGTGAGGGAACAGGTGCCGATGAATACAGGAAGGTTCCCCTGGGCAGCCCACTGCCAGCGCTGCCATTCATGTTTATGTTTATGTTTATGTTTACTTACCTGTGAGGGAACAGGTGCCAAGTATGTTTATGTTTACGTACCTGAGAGGGAACAGGTGCCGAGGCTTACCGGAACGTTCCTCTGGGCAGTCTACTGCCAGCGCTGGGGTTTATGTTACTTTATGTTTTACCTGTGAGGGAACAGGAGCCGATGCGTACAGAAACGTTCCCCTGGGCAGCCCACTCCCTGCGCTCGGGTCGCCGAGGAAGGCCACGCCCGACAACCCGTGTGAGAAGAGGCAGGAACGAGGCGGCGGGAAGACTCGAGACGTGCACCAGGTGATCTCCTTTGGCTGGGCAGACGGGAGGAGGAATGACAACTCAAGTATGCAGTTACTAGTCAATTCTTTCATCAGTGACAACTTGGATTAAATAAAGGATACTAACCTCCAAATTTTCGATGGCTATCAGTCCATCGTGTCACGGAGTGGCCTCTCGGGCCTAGTCTCGCGCTCTCGCGAGATTAGGCCAATTCGTGAACACGATGGACTGATAGCCATCGAAAAATTTGGAGGTTAGTATCCTTATCCTTCCAAGTTGTCACTGATGAAAGAATTGACTAGTAACTATATTCGTGACAAATGAATCTCTTCAAGAATGCAACTTCTCAATTGTACTCATTCGGAATGTAGTATGGCGTAGCTTAGAGAACGTATACGTGTAGAGATGTACTAGTTCTTAGTAGTCCTATTTCAACATTCTGCCACACACAACCTACTTGTAGAATCTTGATAGACTCCTACCAGCTAGTAATCTTATTATCTGCCATACCCGTTACAATCGACTTGAAGTTTCCTTGTGGAGGAACACTGTCTTAAAAGGGAAACTGATGATTATCATGTTTTTCCACACACTTGGGCAAAGAGAATTATTGTGGAGTTTGTGTTACCTGTCTGTCTTGTAGAATGTTTGTTTGTTTGCTTGTTTGTGCTACCTGTCTGCCTGGTAGAATATTTGTTTGTTTGTGTGTTACCTGTCTGCCTGGTAGAATATTTGTTTGCTTGTTTGTGTGTTACCTGTCTGCCTGGCCCCTCAGAGGGTGGGGGAGGGGGGCGCGCACAGTCCCTGTACAACATGCGCAGCCGCTCACACTGGGCCTCAACAGCAGGAAGTCTCTCTCCTACAGGAAACAAACATCAACATTAAACCTAAACATCAACAATAAACATCCCTAACCCTATCCCAGTCTCTCACACTGGGCCTCAACAG